CGTCGTTATATTGGTCAAAGAATTGCGAAAGCAGTAGAAAATTTCGGTACATTCGGCATTCTTTTCCTCCACCCAAATACTATACACGTTTAAATTTCTATCAAGATCTTAATAATTTGCATTCTCGTTTCCGCTTGGTCAGTTCATATTGTGTTTATTATGATCATTATGCTTATATTATGAGTATATGTATGAATGTTTATAATAAACAGTTGCAGTAACTGCTGAAGTATAGTAAACTTCCAAAAATGGTTGTGTTTTAACACAGATTAGCGTTTTAGGAATAATACTCGGAATGGCTTAAATAAAGGGAAAGTAATCGAATAGTCAAAATAATTTAATTTTTTTTGGCCAATACATTATAGTGCGAAGATTGGGAGGTTCTCCCCTTTCTCCCCAAAATCTCAAATATTGAAACTGTTACAAGTTCGCTGCAAAACAAGCAACGGACTTTTTTTTTTTTTTTTTTTTTTGTCACTTTCCAATCTGGATTGAATAGGATTAAAAGTTCTGTGGTCTACCAACCCAAGCGAAGAATGATTCTATTGCGGAAATTTAACGCCGTCTGTTGAAAATTAGAATGAAAAACACCCCAGTTTATTTAGTTCTTTATTCTCCCAATTTCAGCAGCTGTTGATTCCGATTGCGTAATATCACGTAGGGAAGAATTATGGCACACGTATTGTGCAATAACGTTTGCGATATTTCGCAGAGATAATTAATTTTGATGTTCTGTTTGAGATTTGTTTATGAACACTTAAAAGAGTTTTACTGTGCTTGCTAAGCAGAATATTTTTCAGTTCCATTGGTTTATTTTTATATGATGCACATATCGAAATGTCAAAAGCATTTATTTAGCCGGAAAAATCTAAAAACGGCTACAGTCAACCCCCCCCCTCCCCACTCCTCTTTTTTCAAGTTACGCTCAACTGTCCGAATATTCGCCAAGTTTCCAAGTATGCGGGCTTAGTTAAGCTTTACTGTTAAAGGATGACTGCATGAAGCAAATTTCCTGTCTTCTGATTTCAGAAATGTTCCTCTTTTTTACTTAAATTACTTTGCTTGCAATATCTGTTAAGAGAAAACTGATATACAATGAAAATTTAGAAAATGTTCAGAATTTAGATTTAATTAAATTATTTAAATATTAATATGAGTGGAGGAAAAATAAATTGTATTTATTATTAGGTTCCAAGCAAATACAATAAATATGCCTTATTATTATTTATTTTCTCTATTTTGAACTGAAATTTCATCATTAAATCTTGTAATATAGTTTAGTTCTGCATAGTTTTTTTTTTTTTTTTTTTCTCTCATTGTAAACTAGTTCTGTAAATTGAACTGTTATTTAAAATTTAAAGGGAAAAAAAAAGTAATTATTTTCCATGGTTGAGGTAATGCTTATTCTCTCTTAATAAATACTGCATTTCTCATATTTTAAATTACAAGTCTAATTAAGGTTATGCAGTTGTGTATAATGTCATTAGACAGGTGCTTATTTTTTTTCTTAAAATGTGCTTGAAAAGTGCTTATATTTTTTTAACTAAAATGTGGCTATGAACCATGTCCATTCTGGACTTTATTTGAAGAAATACAGTTCAAAGTCCCAGATCCTGACTCGTCAGGACTTCCATGATTCCGTATTTGGAATTTTTCCAGATATTAGATCAGTTTAAATCTAGTAAGATGCCATGTAGAAATAGTAAAATTAAAAATATAAAATTGTGATTTTTGAAATAATGAAGAATTTATGATCTAAAGAGTATCAAAATTTACCAAAAAAAAGGGGGGGGGGAAGAAAAGCTTAATACTTTATTAAACATTTTACTTTATTAAACAAAAGTTTTTACTTTATTAAACATTTCTTTCAAGTTGTTTAAGCTGCTTCGTTTTTTATGCTAATACTTTCTCTGTAATTTTATATACAGACATAATTTCTTATTCAGTTATAAAGTTCCACTTTTGAAGTCCTGTAATTGCTGTGTCCAGAATTCTGACTAACTTGTCAGTTGAAAATTTTTTGCCACTCTGGTCTGTAGCGGTATATTCTGGATCTAGAATCATACTACAGATTTTGCCATCTGGTAATTGATTGATGATTAAGGAGCATTGCCATCACAGTGAAAGACTTCTTTTGTATCCTCTTCATTTATTACCGATTCTCCACATTTCTTTACAAAATCCGTTAAGTGGAAAATATCATTTATGGTTTGCGATATCCCAAAACATTCAGAAAAACCTTCAGATTTGCGACTATCATCATAAACTTTAGCTGTCGTTCACTATACATATTTGGCTACGTATTATGCAATTGGCGACTAAAAACAAGTTGTTCTGCTAAATTTTTGTCTTGCTTCTATCACACACTGAGACAAATTACGCCTGAATTGTATTAGTTATTTATTATACTTAACCCCTATTTCTTGCACATGCTTAATGCTTATCCGAGTCCTGAATAAATAAATTCCCACATATACTTAAGGCTTATTGAGGGTCGGCGCTATGTATCTTACTACCTGATGCAGTCTCTGTGACTCCTAAATTCTGCTACCAAGCATGCCTCCCTTTGTCTTCCCTAAATTCTTCCGCCCGGTGTTGCCATATGAACTCTGGTGCTGGTTCTGGGTTTACATGAATAACAAATCAGGTATTCTTAATTCAAATAGCACTAAATGTAATCTTTTGGCCCATGAGTATCATTAACAAAATCTACTCCTGACGTATGGAAAGAAATTTTTGTTATATTTTTCCTGTCAACATATTTTAGCACATATAACTTAAATCTGTAATCATCGTCAAGCATAATGTCAACATAAAAGGTTACCAGTTTCTCAGTTACTAATATAAAAAAATTGTTTAGGTTATCACTACATAAGTCATTACTTAAGTTGTCATGTGTTGATAAGCATGTGGTAATGAAAGCAAAATATAATAAACTAGCCGCTACACGGCCAGCCTTCTTCTGGTTTTTAAGTGTACTGGAAAAATGCCTAAAGGAAACTCTATTAAATTTAAAAACTGCACAGAATTTCACTGTGCAGAACAACTTTATATATATATAATATAAATTTAAAAAAAAAAAAAAAAAAAAAAAAAAAAAAACTACTACAAATTTCAATAATAATGTATTACATATAAAAATATTACAGTGAAATAAGCAATATCCCTTAATATCTACAAAATTATCCTAATAAATAAATTAACCAACTTCCCGTTGCCTTCTCTTGACAAAAGTCTAGTATCCGAGAGAAACATTAAATTTAAAAAACTGCACAGAATTATCTCCCTCCTTTTTCTGAGTTACAATAGTATTGATATCGGAAACAATGGCAACAGTGTATATCAGCAATGGCTGCATGCCATTATTGCTGATATAATGAGAGAGAATTATCAATTTGATGCAATTTCATCAAAAAAACATTTAAAAAAAAACCTCATTCGAATTTTGAAAAAAAAAAAAAAAAAAAAAAAATCGCTTCAAGGTTCAGTGGCTCTTGTCTAAATGCACCCTATGTACCAAATTTCATAGCCCTGGGTCTATTAGCTTACGTGCAACATGAACGAACGACACACACACAGACAGGCTCTTCCTTATATATATATGTAGATAATAATTCGCCAGGTTTGAGTCAGGGATATAAAATATTAGTAGGTGTAAAATCAATGATGTATGTAGAATTTTTCGGTTTGAAATGTATGCCAAGCAGATACACAGTGACGAAGCCAAATTATTGTTCATACAAATTTATGCCCAAATCATTGTTTCTTCAGTAACAAGGTATTTTATTTAGTGCTGAAGTGAAATTAAGAATCAGGACTCTCCACGTGTTTTATGATGGGGGGGGGGGAATCAAATGCGCATGCGTAAAGCACACACACAAAAAAATATAATAAAGTTAAAAAAAAAAAAAAATTGGTAGTGGCCTTTGAGGTTCGGATTTTAGATCATTCCGGATACTGGATGTCTGGATCTCGGACTTTGTACTGTAAGTGCTTAAGATTTACGTCGTAATTTTTAATATAGATATTTTGAGTTTTTATGTATGTTTGCCTTGTTGCAAAGTGAGAACTGAATTAATTGAATGAGAAATACTGAATCATCTGTAAACCCCCCCTTTTTTTTTGTTTGTTTGTTTAATTTCGTTTATACATCGTTTTAGATTTATTATAGTATTTGAGTAGAACATGTGGCAGTGATTAGATAATTCTTCAGATGATATAAATTTTGTGCATTCTGAGTTATAAAATGAATGAAATGTAACGCTGTTAAGTTAACCTAGCGTCAGAGTGTCACTATGGTAAACAAACATAGTGAAAGTGTGCATTTATTCTATTGTGGTTTATGTGCTATCGATAAAGTAGATTTGATTCAGTGCAATAAGTTTAAATGAAATGCAAGAAAAAAATGCGTATAATTTAATATTCCATACAAGGAAGTCGTGGTGTACACATCAGATTTTTTTATCTAATGCGACACGAATAATGATACATTTAGATAACAAATGTGCTTATTTTAAAAATAAAATTGTGTAGTCAATTTTTAAAGCTATATTATTAATTAAATAAAGCTTTGAATATTTTTTTTATTTGCTTCACTGTATTGATACTTTGTTTCTTTACACAGTCTGGTAATGAAGGATGACTGTGTATTTCCATTAATATTAGGTTTAAATGTGGCATAGCATTAAATTCCAAGTTGAATTATTGATAATAAAAACATAATTCTTATTCATATTAAGTGGCATTTATTTGCTTTTTTTGTCTAATTTATTTGAATATTTTGCTATTTAAAATGAATATAAAATAAATAGTATAAATAATTGTTTTCTAAATTTTTACACTTGCTAATTAAAAGTGAGAAATTCAGAATATTTTGCCTTTGTGTATTTTTAGCAGAATAGAAATATATAGTTTTATAGAAAAGTAATATCTTAAAAAAGAAAAAGTAGTAGAATTTATTTTATTTTACATAAAATAACGGCATTTATTTGCATATCACATACAATATTATAAATAAAAAATTAAGAATTCATGTGAAGTAATTTTTTAAAAATATTTTTAGATATACTTTAGTTTGTCATTCACAAAAGAAAGTCTTATGCTTTTGAGGGAAGGCTACTTAGAAGAAGGATATACTAAAGCCCAAGCTGCATTTTTGGCTTCAGGTTTGTTTTTATTTTTGTTCTTCCTTTTATTCGGTTCAAAGATTATTTATTACATGTTTTAAATATAAATGTGATATATTATAAATCCACATGTATTTGAAGGAAGAGAAAATTCTATGAGATTATATTATATAATGAGTTTTAATTTTAATTTTTGTATCATCTTTCTGTCTATAAACTTAGTAGTATAAAGTACTACAGACATCAAAGTGTAAGAGACAGATAGATCCAAGATAATTTTAAAAAATTGAAACAATGTACAACTATCTCATAAGATCTCTTGAATTCTTTAAATTATTCTATTTTATTGTACATTGATGGATGTACCATTTTTCCATATTTCTTCACAAATTCTATTTGTTGTGGAAATTTCGCTTGGTGTTACATGAAAACCTTCAAATTCATGGCTGTAATCACCATGAAATACGGTAGCTGGCCATAAGTTATGCCAAGAATTTTGTAAAATATCTGCATACACACCCTCCATTTTGTAATGCTGCAGACAGCAGATTTTATGTTAAAATATTTCAAACATTCTTGAACTCTTGAATGGTCAGAAAAGTTAGCATACATTTGAGAAAGACTGTTTTATCTACATTCAGCAGACACAGCACTTTCACATCCATTGTCTGTAACTGTACAATTTAGAAGACAGTTATGTTATCTTTTAATAAAACTAAGTGAAGTATGAGCTGAAGAGTTATCTTTAATCTCAGGATCATTTTTGCATCAACTGGTAATCCAACCAATTTCAAATGTTGCCAAATCTCAGATGTGGAATAATTTTTCAGTCAGTCATTCATTAATATTTATGTCATACATGCTCTTTTAGTTGAACAAATAATAGGAAAAGCATTTACTCCTTTTTTTTTAATACCCAAGGTTGTGTATTTTTTCCAATTATGGGAAGTTTACATTTAAGGCCAGTTTCCACTGCTGCGTATGCATTTCTCCAATCAGCGAGCAAATTCACTTTGATTGACATCTGCATTCCGGCCGGTGTGCGGTGACGGATGACATACGGATGGAGTTCAACAATGTTCAACTTCTATCCGTATGTCTGCGGATGCATTGGGGGTCACTGGTAGCAATAAGGTGCAACAAATGGCGGCAGAATGTTTTGTATACTGTTCTGATTACCATTATAGCGAGAAATCTGTGTGCTGAAAAAGCAGCAATCAGCTGAATTTAGTTAAAAAAAGATAGAAAAACAAGATAACTGCACTACAGTACTTGTTCGTTCAAAAATTCAGTTAAAAAGGCGGCAAAAAAAATGAAATGAAATGGTTTGTCTGATAATCATATTTTAGTTCTGCATACTCATTTAGATTAATAAATGAATGTCTGACTAATCAAACTGCTATAGCAATTATATGATTAAAAGATTTGCTATTTTTTTCTTTTGAACAGGTAAACACTAAAACGTTAATTATAAATTAAATTTGATAGCCTTTTAATACTCCAGTTCATTGAAGAGTATGTTAAATTTGTATTTCCCTTTATAAATATATCTTTTTGGATAATATATTTGTAAGCACATGAAATATTTTTAACAGCCCGTTTAACTTCAATCCGAACGCCACTTAAAAGATATATTTTTGTAAAAAATTTACTAGAAGCTGAAAACAAACTCTGGTTTTTTTCAGACGATAGCACACTGAAATAGGACCAAAAAATTAAGTTTTAAGAATTGATTTAGTTGATGATGATATAAGCCAAAAATGCATGCAATTCACGTGCAATCCTAGCTTAGTATAAAGCTGATGGTAAGGATGTTCACTTTTTTGGAGTCGTGAGTTCGAATCCCATACGCTTTTGCACTTGTCTGCACTTTGCCTTTTATTCCATTTCTATATTCGTTTTATAATTATTTTATTTTATATGCTTAAATATAGTTTTTATTATGCTCTTATTTATTTTAAATTTTTCCCGCAAAATTTGAAATTATATAATACTACTTTAAAGCATATCCTGTACATATAATTTGAATTTAACAAGCATTCTCTATTTGTAAAAAGCAAATTAAAGTGAATTAAATTTAAATGAATTTAATGCAAACAAATAAATGATTAATTATTGCTGCGAACTAATATACAATATCATTTAATCTGAGAGCATATGTAAATCAAGTGCAAGTATCAAAATCCATGATATAAAATGTATTAATAATGCATAAGTTTTAAACATTTTGCACTTGATTTACATATGCTCTAATTTAAATGATATTGTAGATTAGTTCGCAGCAATAAATCATTTATTTTTGCATTAAATTTCATTTAAATTTAATTAATTTTAAATTGCTTTTACAAATAGAAAATGTTTGTTTTCAAATTTCATTCCTTGCAGCAATGGTGCAAGAGAAATTTAAATTTAATTTATTTTGAACCCTGCAGATATATATATATTTTTCGTTTCACTTTTATGTGAATGTATATACATGTGCTCAGACTTTGGGATGTTTACGACTCTAACTTTCATTCAAATTAACATGAGACAGTATTAATGCCCTAACATTTTTTTTAAAAAAATTACTATAATAATTGCTTTTAAATTCAGTCCTCTCCAGCAGAAGCGCAGGAATTAATTATTAAATATTTCCATTTTCTTTACTTAATGTGTGTATATTTAAGAGAAAATCTTATTTTTATAACTTCTTTTATAAAAGAGATATGAATTAAAAATGTTTTAAATTAAAAATAATTTTTATGGATTATGCATAAAATATAACTGCTCATAGTGCATTTTAAACAAACGAGATTTCTAATAAATTATCCAGCTATGACCCTGAAGTCAGCTGTCTACAAGCATAGCAAATTTGTGTAAATATCACGAACCTTTCTTTACAGTTGCTCTGTACTTTTAAAGTACCAACTTTTTTTAATTTCTTTAACTTTTTTATTTTATTTATTTATTTGTTTACTTTCACTAACAGTAACATTTTTAGTTTTAATAATATATATTATTTCATAATATTTAAGGCTTCTAGAAACACAATTTTTTTTTTAAAATTTACTTCAGCTTCTATGGAATTACTGATGTTCATAAATTCATGTTCATAAAATAAGTAAACCTTACTTATTTAAAATTGCTAGCGCACTTTACTTTCGCAGTTCATAAGCAGAAATAAAAATTTCCAATAACATGGAATTTAGTAAACAAAACTTTTCTGCCTTTTACGTCAGGATCCGTATCAAATCCAAAATAAACAATACTCGCTTAAGCGGGGAAAATTCAGATGTTCAGCGTCGTAACTCGCGAACTGCTTGTTTGGCGCCAAAATATTACAGTGACACCTAGCGGCGGAAAATTAAAATATTTTACGGATACGCAGCAGTGGAAACGCTTGTACGGATGCCGTAGGCGTGTCTTCAATTGACGCAACGCGTTCGTACGCAGTAGTGGAAACGAGCCTTTAGGCATTTTGGTAGCACACACCAAAATTGCTACTCTTGCTCGAAAATCTTCGACACCAGTTGGGGCCTTTTTTGGAGAGGTCGCCTAGGTATTTTGGGCACATACTGCTAGAAAAGACCAGTTTTGTCAGTGTTATAAATTTATTCTGGAGAAAACTTATTGCTATTAATAAATGAGTTCATGTACAAATTGTTCAGCTGCTTCAGTATCAGCTGAAGCTTTTTCACCTGAAATTTTGAACTGCCTTATACAATGGCAATTTTAAAATTTAGTTAATGAACCTGTCTAATATATACACTCTTATAAATGAGTTTACATTTATTCATGAAATATTTTGACTTGAGCTGTTAGCACTGAGCCCATCAATGATATACCCTCTCTATGGAAAAAACTCGCTTTTATGGCATACCTGCTTTTTCTTAAGTATATTCTCTATTACTTAACTTTGTTTAAAAAATAAAAGTATATTAAAAAAATAATAGTCTATGTATTAGATCATTTTGGGTATAAAATGCCCCAGTTTCAGGCTTGTACTAGTTGCAAATGGCTGTAAAATGTTGTGCCTTGTGCTCAGCAATAAACACATGGGCATAATGGGCTCTGTACTGCATAGTAAGGAGATGTTTCTGGGGGTATGACTATTCATATTTCATTGTTTTCTAGGATTGATGGAATTTATTTCTAGGATTCATATTTGCTGTTACTTTAAGATTTAGTTACATCAAACCCTTTCATCTGTAAGTTGCGTGTCATAGCAGTTAACTGTGGCAGTAGTGGCTTTGTCGGAATCTGCATAATCATGGTAGACTCAAAATTGATACGCTGGCTTACATAGAGGTCCCTCAACTTCAGAGGTGAAATGCTCCATATCTTGCTCCAGCAATCTATGTGCCTGTCTCATGTTCTAATACGTCATACAAAATCCAACAATTTCCTGAGCATTCCATTTACATCAGCTGTGTGATAAAATATCCTCAGCATGCCAGCTGATTATTATTCATACATAAATGATGCATGCAACATCTTTCTTCCATCAAGTACTATATAAATTCTGAGTCCAATAATTATCAAATAGGAATTTTCGAAATAAAAATTTTCTGTAATCAGTAATCTGTTTCAGATGAAGTATTCTTTGATCCTTCTCTATTGGCACTGCTGTATTTCCCAGAAGATCAAAAGTAAGAACAATGTATAGAATAAATTTTGTACTAGTATTAAATAATTTTGAGTTAAAAATACATAATTAATATGATTCTTGTTTGACTTTTTTTCCCATTTTAGGTACGCTATTTATATTCCATTATTTCTACCTATCAGCATTCCTGTGATAACATCCATGAGCCACCTATGGAAATTTTGGAGAAATTCAAAAATAAAATCTGATTAAGATTTTCATAAATATTTGATAATTTGTACTAGTACATATCATTTACAACAAAAAAATTTAATGAAACATTTTTGTTTTGGCTGTAGATTTCAGAACCTAAGGATTTGTGAGCATATTCAGTTTTTTGTCCCTTCTGAAATAAAATTCATATTCTTTTATCTATGCATTAAATCAACTTATCTGTTTCTCAGCTTATCTATTCAAGTAATATTTTCAGTTCTTCTGATGCACATATAATTTATATGTATAAAAAATTGTTCTTTATAGTAAAGAACGTAATTTTTTTTCATGGTTCATAACCAACCACCTGCATATAATTTACCATCTTCTACCTGAATTAATCTCACATTAAGCTTAGCCTGTCAATAATACAGTGTGATTATTTTAAGATCTTGTGCAATGCCAGTGAATGATCCAAATGTTGCAAATTTGGCAAGAATACGGACTGCATCTGTAAAATGTAAATACACTTCAGGATATGAAAAATGTATATATGAAAAGAAGAGTTGCTTGTCTTCTGCTACATTCTCAGTGAGAAATAAATGCAATGGCACTCTCTCAATATAGTGGTTTTTCTTTGCAAAATACTCATTATGTTTATTATTTTCAAATGAAATCATAAATTTTAAAGTGTTTATTTTAGTGTACAATTTTGTTAGCAGGCTTTTATCAAAAAAAAAAAAAAAAAAAAAAAAAAAAAAAAAAAAAAACATACATAACTGTAAAACTTATTTTTTTACAAACTCCTTCTGGTAGTCACATTTCAATTGGTTCCTGAATAAATGTGAATGCTAAATAGGATTACAGGTGATGGTGAATGGTACCTCTGTGCCTCTTTTTTTTTTTTTTTTTTCCCATTTTGTTGATCCCTGCAGTGCCATAATAAAGTATATTTGTGATCCATTAAACCAATTCCAACTGTGAAGACTTTTCTTGATTTTATAGCTAACTGAAAATTTGCATTAGCCAAAGAAACATGAACTACAGCCACATAGGAAAAACTTTTATATTTTAAAATGGAAGGTAGAAGAATGCAGTTCAGTAACCATTGAAAAATCACTGTGTTTTAAAAGCAAAAATTTTCACACGCTGAAGAAATGTGAACTACAAGTATAGACAAAAAATTGTTATATTTTAAATGCCACACTAAAAGAAATGTATAGGTGCAGATTGGTGATCATAAATTTTTGTTTCTCACCTGTGCAGAAACATGGCAAATCAACATTCTCGCCAAGGCCACTGCAGAAGATTCCAAGACAATCTGAAGACAGGGCTCTGCACATGAAAAAAATGCTCAAAATTATTTTAGCTCTCCCCACCCAATGTTCACACATCTCCTGTGTATAGCCTATTGCTGGGTGAGTAATAGTGATCCAAACATGCATTTAGATTCTGCACAGGCTGTTTCAGTTTAGTTATAAAATGTGACCAGTATACATAGTTTGTTACATTTGTATTTACATCTATCTCCCTTATTCGATTTTATATGTATTAAGGCTCACAAATAAAAATCCAGTGGGGTTTAATCTGGAAAGCATGGAGGAAAAACTAATTCACTCTAATCACTATCATTTCATCAAATTCTCATCAAAGTTTGCTTGGTCATTTTGTTGGTAATAAATCCTCTCATTCCCATGGAGTATGAATACCTGGTGAAATGGAGGATGACTGAAGCATGCCCAGATAAATTTTTCCCATAAAAGCTTTAAAAAAAGAAAGGGGAGGACATCTAGCCAACAATCCACACTAAGCATCGATTCCCAGTATACTGACAGACTTTTATGCAGTAATGCATGAATTTTCTGCAGCCTAGTACACACACAGTTGTGCCTATAGACACACAACTGTGTCTGCCCTTAACTCTTTCGCGACGGCAGGCACAAACATGCACATATTGCCAGGACTGGCTGTTTTTCCATGAATATTTCTCCAGGGCTGGAGGGTTTTTATGCTAAACTTAAAATTACGAAAAGATGAATGCATTGTTAAAGAATGTTCTGAATGGTATATTCTGAATATATAATATATAATTCTGAATATGAATAATATATATGAATATATAATTCTGAATATGAATGTTCTGAATGGTATATATTATTTTATTTACATACTTTATGTACTTAAGTTTCACATTTATCTTATTTTATTAGTCCAAAGGGCCAATTTGCCCTTGAAGGACTATTAATTTCATTTTGGTATTTTGTTTCGAAAACTTGGCTGTATCACTTTTAAAATCATTGCCACCATATATTATCACCCTGTCTTATATTTAAAGAAATTAAATATAGAATCTGCATAAATGTATGTATGTTTCTCGCATTGTGATAAAACAATGGTATCTAGAGCCATTAAATTTGAATAATGTAATCTTCCATAGAATATGGGCATGTAGAATATGGCATGCCCTAATTTGAATTTAAAATTTGTTTTATTATCAATTTCAGATTTTGTAACACTTCAACGAATTTTTGATTAAAAAACTAAACGATTTTAAAGCAAGCAATGGCAAAACTGTAAAAAAAAAAAAAAAAGCATTTTTATCTCCAGTGCGCGAGACTCTGTATTGGGAATTTAAAGATATGCTCATTTTAAAATTCATTTGTGATATTACTGTTGAACTAGATTTTATAGTTTGAGTACGTAGAATATGATATTTAATAAATAAAGGTAACACACAGAACGTAAAAAAAAAAAAAAAAAAAAAAAAACCTTTGGGCATAATTTAAAATTTGAAACCTTTAAGACTCCCCCCCCCCAGTATTTGCTTAACTGTCAGTGGCTTCTGATTTTATACATTTGAAGACTATATATTTTACTTAAAATTTATTTTAGTGTGATAAATTTCAAAGCAGAACCCTTTGTTACAATCCTTGCATTCATAATAATAAAACATTTGCCTTTTGTGAGGATTATTGCAGAAGATGGAACAAAACAAAGCACCACTGTTACATTTTCATTTGAACAAAGTGATGGAAAGTTTCAGTCTGAGTGCATTTAATTCTCCTTTTGACTTTGGTATAACATAAGCACTGCAACTTCTAGAGAAAAACCAAAAAATAATTTAACTAAATAAAACGATAGTTAAAAAGTAAGATTATTCTGATTTTTATTTAAAAACAATATTGGCATTAAAAATAGCCATACTCATGTTATTCAAAAAAGTTTTGTTAATACCATTGTGTATTTTTCCTGAAGGAGGAAAATTGAGTTATTATAGTATCACTTATGTCTATCCCTCGCATATTCGTATTGTACCCATATACACTCTGCCATCGTGATAAGATTACAATGTTGTCCATTCGTAAATAAGGGCATCTTAACACATGGGCCATATGCTAATTCATTTGCATTTCATTTCTGCGAGTTGTTTTGTAGAGATCTTAGCACATTCTTTTGTGCTCAGGTGCCTATAATGGTGTTAAGGTGTAACTGTATGTTGATTAACTGGCTTATAACTTTCTATTTCATGAGAAAGAATCTTCTCTGGTTTAAAGATGTCTGTTCACCTGTTCGGTCTGTCAACAACAAACGTGATACGCAGCCAGAGCTGGATTAAAAGATTTAAAGTCCTAAGCATTTAAAATGTTTTAGTGTCCCAGCATACATTATTTATGCTGGGACTCTTTCTTGTTTAGCTCCAAATTACTAATATGCACCTGAATGCTACTCAAACACACTTGATGAAGACATCATTATTAACTTAATTCGAAGCAAAAGATATCAATGAAAAAAAGAAAAAGAAAAGAAAAGAAAAAAAAAACATTTAAATGAAGAACTTCCTCCGTACAGACCCTAAGAATAATACTAAATGAAAAAGTAACATAACTCAGCATATTACAAAATGACATCTTTATGAACTCATTGCACTTTGTTGAGTATAACATCTACTCAAACTCCAAATTACACAATGATGAAAATATTTCTAACTTTGCTAAATTTTTATTAATCTGAACAGTCATTCATTAATTTATCACAAACCAACAAAAACCAATGCAACTCCAGTCGTTCTCTCTCCACAAAAAAATGAAATTTTCAACTTTTAACCTACTATATCAAAAACCTCAAATGCAACAACTTCTCCAGTCGTTTTCACTGTACAGAGAATGAAATTTTCAACTTTTAATCTACTATATCAGAAGGAAATTGTAACTTGGAAAACGTAACCAGGCCCCCAGAAATTTCGTTGAAATAGTTTAGAACAATAAAAATAAAAATTTTAAGAAATTCTAACTTTTAAGAATTTTTTTTGGTTAGAGTAGAGAGAATGGAACTTATATTATCACGAAGTTGTTGTTTCATTTATTGCCAAGTGGTGGTTTATTTATGATAACCTGAGTAGTTGAATGTTATGGAAACCATATTATGATGTAATTGGTTGCATGATAGCAGTCAATTTAAATCGTGGGAAAAGATATGGAAAGTGTGCTTCAGATTATCAATAAGTATGTTGTGTTTACTTGGTATATCAATGCTGTGTACTTTGCTAGCCCATCCTTGTACCATGCATCCATCTCAATTGAATCTCTTAAATTTATTATCTGAGCAGATAAATGTAGATTTTAAGCATACTGAATGAATGAAAGGGTTTTGCTCAACACTTACATCAACATGTCATTAAAAATATTATTTTAATTCCAATTTAGTGAACTCTAGAACTTTGTATATACCACTCGTACAAATATTCTCTCTTTGCATACATTTTGAACCTATCCAGCGAAAATCACTCATGCTTAAAAATACCATTTAATAAATTTTAATTTAACAGTTTCATACAACTCAGTAGAAAAATACTATTTTGACATATTCAGTCAAATACTCTCAATTCATTGCAGCATAAAGTTACACATAGCAATATTTTTATAAAAGCCAAAAGGAAAATTTCTCAGAAAATGAAAAAGGAAAGGAAGAAACAAAGAATTAATAGGAAGGTAAAAAAAATTAGAAAATTTAAATAACCTATTTGTTCATAAAAAAAAAATTCATAACTCAACATAAAATAATACTCATAGCCTGAAGTAATTAATTCTGCTCATCATTGAAATTTAAACTCTTAGTAGAATGTTACTGATTTGACTTACTGTAAAAAATACAAAGTATCAATTAAAATTTTAATTATTTGCATTATCATAAAATAAAATTAAGCATTCCGGAAAACAGGAGGAAAAAATGAAAGGAACAAATGAACCACATATATAAAAAATAATTACTTTATTCTTTCCCTATACTTAAATACAAATTTTAAACATTTAATGAGCAAGTAACTTCACTGGTGATACATGTATATTTACAGTGACAGGAAATTGGAATTTCTAAGTTCAGCATGTATAACTTCTTCAATGGTAGGTCCAGTGCCAGCACTGGCCCTAGGTTCGTGACTAATTAAAATTGCTTCCTTGGTAATTACTCATGAGAGGAGACAGTTCGATTGCACTTCTTTCATTTTATGTTCATCCTTCTCTCAGTGTATTATTGTCTAACCACTGAAGTACAGAATTACAAGTCTGCTTAGCTTTGAGTTTATCTGAGGAAGATAGCTTGTCTTCCGATGCAGAGTCAGCTGCTTGCTTTACGCTATACATGTAGCTTTCAAGGACATTGCATGAAGCTACTCTCTCTCTCTGCTCTGCACGTTCTTTTTCATACTGCTTTGCCTCTTCCAGCATCCTCTCAATCTCCTCTTTCGACAGATGGCCCTTATCATTGGTGATGCAGATGCTCTATGATTTTCTAGAGCTCTCCTCCATCACAGAGATTTGTAAGATGCCATTTGCATCTAGATCGAAGGTTACTTCAATCTGGGGAACAACCCCTCTGAGCAGGGGGTATTTCTGGACAGCTGGAACCTCCCTAGGAAGTGATTGTCTTTTGACATCGCTCTTTCTCTTTCATAGACATGAATGCCAACAACTGGCTGGTTGTTGGAATAAGTTGTGAAAAACTTGCGATGTCTTGCGGGAATGCGAGAATTTCTCTCGATGATCTTGGTCATGACACCACCTGCTGTTTCGATACCCAGTGACAAGGAGCCACGTCTACCAACAGGACATCTCTGATCTTTTCGTCTGTGCTTCCTGTCAGAACGGCAGCTTGGACGGCGCCCCATAGGCTATGCTTCGTCAGGATTGATCGACATGCAAAGTTCTTTACCGTGGAAAAAGTCTCTCAGCATTTCTGTATCTTGGGAATGCATGTTGAACCCACCGACCAAGACAACCTCGTGGATGCTGCTCTTGTCTACTTGCATCTTTCAGGCACGCTCCACTGGCTCGAGGGTTGATCGGAAGAGATCCATGCACAGCTCTTCAATCTCGCTCTGGTATTTTCGATAAAAGTCTATCCCTTCGAATAGTGCATCTATCTCGATGCTAGCTTCAGTGCTGCTGGACAGAGTCCTCTTGGCTCTTCACAGCGGTTCGCAGCCTCCGAAGAGCTCTTGGACTGGAACGCAGATCTTTACGATGCTTCGCTTAAACTCTTCTACAAAATGTGCCACCATCCTATTATCAAGTCCTCTCCCCCCCCCATTGTCACCAGCTGTCTCTCACCTCGAACAAGGAACCTCATCGGGTCAATAGACATCAAATGTGCCACCTCTAAGTCAAAGATTAGGACATTCTCAGATTCTTGTCCAGACCATAAGGCCTGCAGTTGTTCATTTGATTCTCAGCACAGCCAGCGCTATTCCCCTGCATCCTTTGTGCGTGTCTCTGCGAATCATTGAAATGATACAGCTCAGTAACTTTCTGCCCCATCTCGGCAGTTCTTTCTTTTAGTCAGCACCATAGCACTTATTTTTCAGGATTAAAACGCTTGCACTCACTTTTGAACTCGACACAGATCTTTGGTTTACCGCCTTCGTTTGCTACCTTGAACGGCCAGTTTTTCAAATCTTGCTGAATTTTTTTGGATCATCACACTTTCGGCCGATCAACCTCTTTGCATCGAAAATGGTATTTTCGGGATTCAGAGCAACCTGAGATTTTGCAGGATCGCCGATGAGCCTCTCGGTCTCCGTAAAGGCAACATAACTAGGTGTTGTGCGATTGCCCTGGTCGTTGGCTATGATTTCCACATTTCCATGCTGGAAGACGCCGACGCAAGAGTATGTCGTGCCTAGGTCGATACCAATAGCTGGCGCTTTTCCACTCGGCATCTCTGATGTTAAATCAACAGCAATAACTAACCACTGCAATAAGGTCAGAGAGAAATGCTACCAGAACACTTCACAAAAAATTCGTAGTTAATGCAAAATCGGCGAAGAATACAGCACTTCCAAAGATCGCTTTGTTTGTTTACAATACTAACCGTCATCCTCACAGAGCTCATATTTATACTTTCGCAGCGCCTTCGGGAAATTTCCCGAACATTACTCGGGAATGACGTCAGATCGATTGTTCTGCCGCCTTCCAGATGCTCTCGAAATTTCTCGACCGAAGAAACGCTCGTGGTGCCATCTAGGAAGTCCCATTGAAATTAAACATAACTTTCATCCCCCAACATCAAAACAAATTTCTTTCGGGAAACGTTTAGAAATAAACAAGCTTTTAAATCTCACAATATTCGTGAATCATTCTTATCTTACTGTCGCTAACACGCATTTCTTTTTAAGCAAAAAAATATCCTGGAGAGTGCAGTATTCGAAATATTCACATGCGCCTGAAATCTCAATGCGATTTTATGAGTTATTAAAGAAAATCACGATTCGATTTTGAATGGCTCGAAATTCCATGGGGATGCTGTAAAAACAGAGACAGTGGTTAAATCATTTAAGAAGTGTAGCATTAGTAATTCACTGGATGATACAGAGGACAATTTGTTGTATGAGGACTCGGATCACACTATATGTAAAAAAATTGTTGTATGAGGACTCAGATCACACTATATGTAAAGAAAATTACACTATATGTTTAAAAGAAATTAATTTTCAAGTATCCTGTAGCCAGGATTTTTTCTTAAAATTTTCAATTCATTGTTTCTTTATAATTTATACCTATTTATTTCCATAGTTTTTAAACATATCTGTCATTAAATTAGTTGAAAATTACCGTATTTACCGGTGTATATCTAATCTCTTTAAGGATAAAACTATATTACTGATCATTATAATGAACTTACAGAATTTTTTATATAATGTAATACTTTCTGCAAATACCCAATCTATATGGGGAAGAACACCTTTTAATCTTCTTCGTCAAAATCTAGACATTCATCTCCAGAGCTACATAAATGAAGAGTCACTTGACACTTCTTCTAAATTAGCATCTGAGTCCTCATACAACAAGTTTTGAGCCATTCAAAATCGAATCGTGATTTTCTTTAATAACTCATAAAATCGTAGATTTTTTGCATTGAGGTTTCAGGCGCATGTGAATATTTCGAATACTGCACTCTCCAGGATATTTTTTTGCTTAAAAAGAAATGCGTGTTAGCGACAGTAAGATAAGAATGATTCACGAATATTGTGAGATTTAAAAGCTTGTTTATTTCTAAACGTTTCCCGAAAGAAATTTGTTTTGATGTTGGGGGATGAAAGTTATGTTTAATTTCAATGGGACTTCCTAGATGGCACCACAAGCGTATCTTCGGTCGAGAAATTTCGAGAGCATCTGGAAGGCGGCAGAACAATCGATCTGACGTCATTCCCGAGTAATGTTCGGGAAATTTCCCGAAGGCGCTGCGAAAGTATAAATATGAGCTCTGTGAGGATGGCGATTAGAATTGTAAACAAACAAAGCGATCTTTGGAAGTGCTGTATTCTTCGCCGATTTTGCATTAACTACGAATTTTTTGTGAAGTGTTCTGATAGCATTTCTCTCTGACCTTATTGCAGTGGTTAGTTACTGCTGTTGATTTAACATCAGAGATGCCGAGTGGAAAAGCGCCAGCTATTGGTATCGACCTAGGCACGACATACTCCTGCGTCGGCGTCTTCCAGCATGGAAATGTGGAAATCATAGCCAACGACCAGGGCAATCGCACAACACCTAGTTATGTTGCCTTTACGGAGACCGAGAGGCTCATCGGCGATCCTGCAAAATCTCAGGTTGCTCTGAATCCCGAAAATACCATTTTCGATGCAAAGAGGTTGATCGGCCGAAAGTGTGATGATCCAAAAATTCAGCAAGATTTGAAAAACTGGCCGTTCAAGGTAGCAAACGAAGGCGGTAAACCAAAGATCTGTGTCGAGTTCAAAGGTGAGCGCAAGCGTTTTAATCCTGAAGAAATAAGTGCTATGGTGCTGACTAAAATGAAAGAGACTGCCGAGATGTACTTAGGGCAGAAAGTTACTGATGCTGTAATCACAGTTCCTGCATACTTCAATGATTCGCAGAGACAAGCAACAAAGGATGCAGGGAAAATAGCTGGACTGAATGTGCTGAGAATCATCAATGAACCAACTGCAGCTGCTCTGGCATATGGTCTGGACAAGAATCTGAGAGGTGAAAAGAATGTCTTAATCTTTGACTTAGGAGGTGGCACATTTGATGTGTCTATCCTGACAATCGATGAAGGTTCCTTGTTCGAGGTGAGATCTACAGCTGGTGACACTCACCTGGGGGGAGAGGACTTTGATAATAGGATGGTGGCACATTTTGTAGAAGAGTTTAAGCGCAAGCATCGTAAAGATCTGCGTTCCAGTCCAAGAGCTCTTCGGAGGCTGCGAACCGCTTGTGAAAGAGCCAAGAGGACTCTGTCCAGCAGCACTGAAGCTAGCATCGAGATAGATGCACTATTCGAAGGGATAGACTTTTATTCGAAAATAACCAGAGCGAGATTTGAAGAGCTGTGCATGGATCTCTTCCGATCAACCCTCGAGCCAGTGGAGCGTGCCTTGAAAGATGCAAAGTTAGACAAGAGCAGCATCCACGACGTTGTCTTGGTCGGTGGTTCAACACGCATTCCCAAGATACAGAAAATGCTGAGAGACTTTTTCCACGGTAAAGAACTTTGCATGTCGATCAATCCTGACGAAGCAGTAGCCTATGGGGCAGCCGTCCAAGCTGCCGTTCTGACAGGAAGCACAGACGAAAAGATCAGAGATGTCCTGTTGGTAGACGTGGCTCCTTTGTCACTGGGTATCGAAACAGCAGGTGGTGTCATGACCAAGATCATCGAGAGAAATTCTCGCATTCCCTGCAAGACATCGCAAGTTTTCACAACTTATTCCGACAATCAGCCAGGTGTTGACATTCAGGTTTATGAAGGAGAAAGAGCGATGACAAAAGACAATCACTTGCTAGGGAGGTTCCAGCTGTCCGGAATACCCCCTGCTCCGAGGGGCGTACCCCAGATTGAAGTAACCTTTGACTTAGATGCAAATGGCATCTTACAAGTCTCTGCAATGGAGAAGAGCTCTGGAAAATCACAGAGTATCCGCATCACCAATGACAAGGGCCGTCTGTCGAAAGAAGAAATTGAGAGATGCTGGAATGGAAGAGGCGAAGCAGCATATGAAAAAGAAGATGCAGAGCAGAAAGAGAGAGTAGCTTCACGCAATGCCCTTGAAAGCTACGTGTACAGCGTAAAGCAAGCAGCCGACACTGCATCGGACGACAAGCTATCTTCATCAGATAAAGCCAAAGTTAAGCAGACCTGTGATTCTGTAATTCAGTGGTTAGACAATAATACACTTGCAGAGAAGGATGAAATAGAACATAAAATGAAAGAAGTGCAATCTGAACTGTCTCCTCTCATGAGTAAATTACATCAAGGAAGCAATTTTAATTCTAGTCAAGAACCTAGGGCCAGTGCTGGCACTGGACCTACCATTGAAGAAGTTGATTAACATGCTGAACTTAGAACATTCCAATTTCATGTCACTGTAAATATATCATGTATCACCAGTGAAGTTAACTTGCATCATTAAATTATTTAAAATATTTGTATTTAAGTATAGGGGAAAGAAATAAAGTAAGTTAATTTTTTATATATGTGTGTTCATTTGTGCCTTTCATTTTTTCCTCCTGTTATTCCGGTAATGCTTAATTTGTATTTTATGATAATGCAAATAATTAAAAATTTTAAAGTTGATACTTTTGTATTTTTACCAGTAAGTCTAAATCAGTAACATTCTAACTAAGAGTTTGTAAATTTTCAATGAGTGAGCAAGAATTAATTACTTCAGGCTACTGAGTATTAATTATGTTGTGCATGATGAGAAGTTATGAAATTGTGGTTTTTATGAACAAATAGGTATATGAAATTTTAGAAGTTTTTGATAAATTACTTAGTTTAGGAGTCTGTGATTAATTTCAGCTGTAGAATAATTTTCATATTGTGCATGAGAAATTTTTAAAAATTTTGGCTATTATAAACATATTGCTATGTGTAACTTTATGCTGCAATGAATTGAGAGTATTGCACTGATATATGTCAAAATGTATAGGATTTTTCTACCTTGAGTTGTATGAAACTGTTAAATTAAAAATTTTATTAAATGGTATGTTTTAAGCATGAGGTGATTTTCGCTGGATAGAGTTCAAAAGCGTATGCAAGAGAGAATATTTGTACGAGTGGGTATATACAATAAGCTTCTAGAGTTCACTAAATTTGGAATTAAAATAATATTTTTAATGACATGTTTGCATGTAAGTGTTGAGCAAAACCCTTTCATTCATTCAGTATGCTTAAAATCTACATTTATCTGCTCAGATAATAAATTTAAGAGATTCACTTGAGATGGATGCATGGTAGAAGGATGGGCTAGCAAAGTGCACAGCATTGATATCTATGTTCTAAGCAAATGCAATGTGTTGAACAATTCATTTGTTACATTTACTTTTCAATAATTTAAGAATATAACCATTTAGTTCATAAAATGACATGCATGTTGTGTGGTCTAAATGACCCAAAACACTTAAATCATACACATATTCTGCTTCAAAGTCTAATTTATGATAAATAGTGATATTATCATTATAAATAAGCACTTGCTTATTTGCTATGTCTATGGATTTTGGGTACATTCTACTGAACGGAAAGGGGGGTGCCAAAACCCTATCGCAGCAGCAGTGACCTCACTGCCTAGAATAAAATTTATGCCATATTCTTGATCAAGCATGATGTTTTATTTAAGAGTAAAATTCAGATTTTATTGATCTAATAATGGAAGTTAAGAGAAACAGTTTATGGATAATAGATAATTCTATTGAAATAGAATTATTCTAAAAGGTGGTTAGAAAAATTTTAAGTACATTCTTAAAATTGTGATTCTTATTGTTCTAACATATTTTAAAGAAATCACTATAGCAACATTTTCTGGAAAGTATTTCAAAATGGCGATACAATGTTTCTAAGAATTACCTGTGGAATGAGTTATTATTTTAGTAGATAGAATATTAAAAAATCTTCCCCTGAATTTTCAATGTATATATGCAGTTACACATAAACTGTATACCTCTTAATATCTTCTGCCCAACATGACTGCAAGAAGCTAGAATAATATTAACCCATCATGTAAGAAGTAAAAAAAAAACACTTCTTATTTTGCAAAAGATAACAAATATATTTTTTATTTAACTTGAACTAAGAATTTCATAGGATAAAATAAAGAAAGGTCCATTTTATAACACATTTCACTGTTTAGTTTATTTACAATAATCAGCAAAAATTTTTCAACAAATATACATATAATTTTGCTTTCTTAAAGATTTGTCTTCCAGGAGTAAAATCACAGGTTAAAATAATTAAAATACTATTAATCTCACATAACAGTGTCTAATAACAAAATAATCACTTCTTAAAATCAAATCTGCCAACAATACTAAAATAATTCGAGATCAGTTCTTTTAAAAGTCTACGTATTCATTATTTTCCATACATAACAATGACAATAATAAAAAGCTTATTAATGCTGATTCTTTGAGCAGCATGCTTGATTTATTTTTCCCCCTTTTGTGTTTGTGTGCACTTATATCCTGTATTGCATGAAGTAAGGAACATTGAAAGTAACAAATGATGACCTGCTACTTACACACAGCCGGTGCAGTCGTACCAGTTAGCAAAAATTTTAGAACTTAAAGAGAAACCAAGAGGCAGAATCCAGAAATTTGCACGAGGTGGCGAAAAGCCTAGCGTCAGCCCTGTACTTATGCAATCAATATTTCAAGCTATGCAATAACTGACCATATATACCTTTATAAATGTTTTAAAATTAATTTCTAATATGTAAAATATAAATTAAATGACATGAAATGCAAAGCATAAATATTTTCAATAAATATTACTGAATTAATATCAAAAAGTACACTTTTACACAATTGCTCTTCATAACAATTGATAACATGCACATTTATAAATTATTTTCCATTCTTGTGAAACTGAAAATTCCTTAATTTGAATTAGGTACAATAAAATTTAACTTATTGTTTAACTTATTACAATAAATGGTGAAAACTGAAGTACATGGAAAAATCATGGCTATACATCAGATTGTAAAAATATACTAATACTTCCTGAAACTATAGACATTGCACCCCCGAAAAAATATAAAAAAAGCAATATTTTCAAATATTAATGAAAAAGAAAAAATATGGTCAATTAATTGCTGTATGCTTCAAAGAACATGATGTAAATGATAATTTTTTCCAGATTTTCATTTATTGTGCAGCCTTTGTAAATTAGAAATTTTTCAATAATGAAATTATTAATAATAATAAGATATAAATTTACATCACATTTTTCCCAATCAAGAAAAAACTGAAAATGTTTAATTTAAATATGAATATTCTTCAAAGGAACAATAAAAAATATCATTCCATTAAAATCTAATCAGGTTCAGAAAGAACATAAATAACCCAGGTATCAATTTGGAAGAACTCAGATAAGCGGCTCTTAGCGCAATTTTTTCTCACCATATCCTCGGGAGGAATTTTTTGATGCCAAGAGGGAAATGGAATCAAAAGGTGCTTTCCAAAAATTCCTTCAGCCCAATATTAGGGGAAAGGCTCTGCTGGGCGAAAATCGAGTAAGGCAAAGTGTAGCGTTTGCATTGAGATGGTAAACCATACATATAGAACAAATTGTAAACGATTAGTTATTGTTGTGATTAAGTAAATCTACGTACATTTTTCAATTTTAGTATTTTTATATTATGATATATATATAACTCCAGTATTATTAACTTTTATACTTTTCTTTTTTAATTCTTACCATTAATCTGAACAATTATCTGTAATAATGGCTATATATGTTTGAAAACATGTTCTTTATATAAATGCAGCAATGATCATGAAAAATGTGATATATATCACAGGTTTAAGTTAGTTAAAGTTTAAAAAAAAAAACAAAATATGCTTGTATTTCCACAATAATATTGAATTCTCGAAATCTATTGCAGGCTATTCAATCATCCAGTCAGGTTTATATGTTACATTCCGGATTCTTTTATGCACATAATTTCAATTAATAAGGTTAAGAGGGTTATTTTTATTCTTTTTTTTCTTGTTTAAGTGCGAAAATAGTTTTCGTGTATGTAACCAAAGAAATGTAATCCTGAATTGCGTAACTGCAGGGAAACAAGATTTGTAACAAGTGCTACTATGGCTTTTCAAGGTGTTATGCACTTGTTTAAATTTCAGAAAGAGACCAAACAAATAGAATAGGATAAGGTTATTTGAATATTTCTGTATTTATTCCATGAAAAGTTAAATACTACAACATTGTCTATAACAGTGGTTTCGAACTGGCGGCCAAGGAAGCAATTTCATGTGGTCGGCGAATGTATTTCAGTTATGCATTTGTTGCAAATACAATGAATCAGTGAAATATGCTTGACGTAGAAAATCAGCAGAATAATGTTTGTTTAATATTTTATACTAACTTATTAGCATTTCAAATTTTGATTATAATTTTATTGCATTTTAATAATTATATTTGAATTTAAATATGATTATGAGGGGTTAAAAAACTGCTTTTATGATATAGGGTGTCTTTCAGCGGCTGAAGGGTAAAACTGTTGCACACTGGTAGTTCGTCTTGGAGTGAAGCCATGGCTAACAGACTTCCCTCTCCTTAGAACTTAGTAGAATGGGAGTGCTTTTGATATTCTAAATATTCCTAATCGTATTTATACATGGACATAATTAGAAAAAAGGCATTCAGTTAGATTAAACAAATGACTTCCATAAATTAAAAAATATATATATTTGTATTATAAGTACAATTATTTGATTTAGAAATTAATTCCTGTTTGTTATGGCCAGACTCTCATATATTTAAATATTAAGTATATAAAAATTTCATTCTAATTAGAAATTATCTGGAAATATGAACAATAAGTTAGAAAAAGAGCATATTTTATTCTATAAAAATAAAATCATTTTATTCTGATTAGAAAGGTAATTAATTTATTAAAGTCTATAATTAAAATTTTAAGTATTTTTAATTAATTTATTTAGAAATTAATTATATGTAAATAATGTGAGCCAAAAGTATGAAAAGGAACATAATTTCTAATTTTCTTGTATAAAAATAAAATTATCTTATTCTAATCACAAGTATAATTAATTTATTTAGGAAATAATTAAACAGTGAATTCAAAGCGTCTACTGACAGAGTCATGTGATCATCAGCACAAAGATTTATCTGTAAAGTCACAACACCCAATGCAAAGTATCAACCATATAGAAAGAAAATATCCCTTTCCTTTTCTTTATCTTGCTTAACATCTGGGCTAGCAACCTAAACATTCTTCCAACTGTTTGGTGCCTATCCGCCAAGTTGATGAATGCAATTTCCAGAACCCCGCCAAATGCCGGTTATCTGAGTATCCCCATCAATGAATACAACATTTTAGGAAATTATAGAAAAAATGTTCTGATTCTGCTTAATACAGAATTTTTTATGATAATTTTATAGATGCCAATAACTTAAATATTTTTAATTTGCAATAACTGATGTACTCAAATTTAAAATCTTTTTATGCAT